CTCTCTCTCTCTCTCTCTCTCTCTCTCTCTCTCTCTCTCTCTTCCCCCTTCTCTCCTTTTCTGCTCTCTTCTTTTCCAGTAGCCAAGTCTAGGGCTGAATCCCCTCTCCCCCCCGTTTGCTAAGAAGAGCCGAATCTTTTTCTTTCCCTTTCTTATTCTTTTATTTTTCTTCCTTTCATTATTATTATTTTTTTTAAAGTCCTGGAAGGTGGCCTATCTTCTCTCCTGGGGTTTCTCCAGCTATTGTTACCCTTCCTGGCTCTCCCAGGAGTGTGCCTGGAAAGGTGGGGTTCTGGAGGGGGGCTTGCCTCCCTTCTCTAGCGAGACCCTGAGGGGAAGCCGGGAACCACTGTCTCCCTCCCACCCTTCCGAAGAGCCATATGGAGCCTGAATTTTTCCAACATGGAGGCAAGGGAAATAGACATGTTTGGCTGGGTAGAGCGGTTCCCCACCCCCTCTTCTGGATCCCAGCTCTCAGATCCCCGCGGCACCGTCCCTTCCCTTACGGTCCCATTAGCCAGGCCTCTGCGCCTTCCAGCCTGGAACCTTGTTGGGCAAAGTCCCGGAGCAGAGTTGCTAAGGCGCCTTTTAATTCGGTTACCTCCAGCGCCAAACTTGCCGCCGCGGGGCTCGGCCCGGGCCCGGCCCGGTGTGCTTGGAACCTGCCGCAGCTAACCAGTTCGGCGTCCCGATCGGTTTCTCCTCGCTTCCTTGAGCCTGAGCAGGAGGCTGGTAGCTTCTCTCCAGCCACCGAGGCAGCAGCGGCCAGACAGCCGGCCAGCAGCGGCAGCTGGAGGCTCTCCGAATCCGCAAACCTTCCTGGCCCTGCCTCACCGCCAGCGGAGTCTCCATTCTTTCCTAGCACGTCTCTGGCTCCTTCGCTTCCCACACTCGCCTGGCCTCTGTCCTGCGATGGTTTGGGGCTTATCGCTGGGGGAGCGACAGAAATTTCAGCCCCAGGCGTCTAGTCAAATTACTAGGTTTTTATTTATTACTATTATTATTACCACCACCATCATCATTATTGCTGTAACACTCATTTAGACTAAATAAAGCCAGGGCCCAGCCAGCTAACCCCCTCCAACGTTTTTATTTCATTCTCTTTTCTATCTATTAATAACAAACTCAACTGATGCCGGTTAATTAATTCTCCCTTTCAGCCAGGGCTGCTCCGAAGCTAATTTTGGTTAAATCATCAGAGGCTAATGGTAATAATAATAAAGGGATTGGGTCAGCCTGGTCAATTGAACTCCAGTACTCCCTGGAAGGAAGGACCTGCTGCTTAGCAGACCCATGTGTATTAACAGAAACAAAAATTTCTCGGAATCCAATCGGAACTCAGAGCTACCTCAGCTCCCTTTTATGTATAAATCTTGCCATTAGGAGCAGCGTTTATGTGTGAGAGGGACAGACTCCGCCGGCATTCCTTTCATTTTATTTTTACTAAGTTAAGTTTTCTTTGGAGTTGACCAGCGGGGCTGAAATGATATTTTACGTTCTTCCAAAAGCACATGACACAGAAAGGGTCAGTCTGGAGGTTTTAGGGACGTACCCACCCACGGAGAGAGGGCTGGAGAAGACACAGGAGCAACAGTCAGAAATCTGGGAGAGAATACAAAATCCCCTGACACGGTCAAGCTTTATTTTTCTGGTGTACTTTTGAAAGGCTATATTAAAATAGTGAGCATCATCTTATTTATGTATTTATTTTTTGCTGTTGGGAACCTCAGTAAACAGCCCCCCCTTCCCAACCCAGAGAAGAATCGTGCTCAAATTGTTTTATGAGTCTTTTTCATCCTGAATAATTTCCCCCGCCTCAGTAGAAAAATTCCAGCAGTTGTGCAGTCTTTCCTTTTCCTTTTTACTTTTTTCCTGAGAAAGAAAAGAACACAGTCTATTATGGAAAGGGTGTGTGTGTGTGGGGGGACTCAAGCCAAATGGTCGTAGCACCAACCGGTCCTGCCTGGGAAATCAAAACAATCACGCTCCATTTGGAGGCTCCACGGGGGCGCTGGCTGCTAGGTCCCAGGCTTGCCCGAGCCAAGACTGGAGGTGACGGTACCTGCAGATGGGACATAGATGGATGAAGCTTGCTTCCACTGGCTCTGGGAGTTAAAAATCTTCAGGAATTTTCTACCTTAGGCTGTTATGATCTTCCTGGAGGGAAGGGTCCCAGATGAACTTGCTTTTCGGTCTGGCTTGGGTCCAAGATCTGCAAGTTCCTTCCAGGCTAGACTTTGCTTAGGTGGAAGGATCTGGAGAGAGGAGAGAGGCCCTCTACACTGGGACGAGGGCCTCCAAGATGCTTTTATTTTGGAGTCTAATAGTGCCCCCTCCCTGGAATTGCCCTTTCCCAGAGTTGGGGGGAGGTAAGCAGAATTGTAGGAAAGGTCAGGGGCTGGTGTTGGAGCAGGAGGGAAGGAAGTCATGGTCCATGAAGCAATGGTATCCTATTCCCAAGCACTCCCCAAAGGAGTATAATCCTTTTTAAAAAAAATCGAAATGAAAATCGGTGTTTTGTTTTATTTTGTTTTTCCTTTAAAATTAAAGTTGAAGCAAGAAGCATCCATGTCAGGTCAGATGCTTGGTCCCAGCGTCTGCTGCAGAAAGACTGGCGAGGAGAGAAGAAAAAAAAAATCCCTATTGATGTCAGTTCCCTTTTTAGTTCCTAAGATGGATTCGAGGCCCAGTCCTCTTCTCCCCGTGTGTCTCTTCTCTCGCCCCGCAGGTCAGCCGCTTGGAACAGACCCGGGAGGAGGGGGGCAGAAAGGGGAGGGGGGTCCGGCGTGTCACGTGACCCCCAGGGGTGCCAATGTCCGGTCGTGAGGGTATCAGGCCCTTGCAAGTTGCCACCCACTGCCCGGGCCTCGCCCAGCGATGCAGAAAGCCACCTACTACGACACCACGGCAGCTGCGCTCTTCGGAGGCTACTCCTCGTATCCTGGCAGCAATGGTTTCGGCTACGACGGGCCTCCCCAGCCCCCCTTTCAGGCCGCCACGCACCTGGAGGGTGACTACCAGCGCTCAGCGTGTTCCCTGCAGTCCCTGGGCAATGCCGCCCCACATGCCAAGAGCAAGGAGCTCAACGGCAGCTGCCTGAGGCCCGGCCTGGCCCCAGAGCCCCTGCCCGCCCCGCCGGGCTCACCCCCACCCAGCGCCGCACCTACCAGTGCCACTAGCAACAGCAATAACGGGAATGGGCCCAGCAAAAGCGGCCCCCCCAAGTGCGGTCCCGGCTCCAACTCTACCCTCACCAAACAGATATTCCCCTGGATGAAAGAGTCGAGGCAAACGTCCAAGCTGAAAAACAGCTCCCCCGGCACAGGTACCAGCTCTCTGCCTTCACCGTCAGCTTTTTGTCCAGTCCAGGAATGTCACTGTTATTCTAGCATTCGACCCCTAGGCGCCCACAAGGCGCCTGGGAACAATATTAGGTGGCTGCCGCTCCCCCTCCGCCCCCGCGCGCGCCCCGTACTTCTTACCACCTGATGACCTCTGACCCTGCCAACACCCAATCCCTCCAGCCATCCTCCGCCTGGGTTTCCAAGAATTTCCAGGAGGTGGGACGGTTGGCCTCAGAGCCCTTCCCAAGGCCACATCGCCTGGAGGGCACAGAGTCATCAAGGATAGATTATTATTAAGTATGATTATTGTGGGTATTAATCACCATCGCTCAGGAGGCCTGGGGTCCTGGCCTCCAGCCACCGCAGTCTCTAGTGACACACTTCTAGGCCCTGCCCACCCGTGTCCAGCTCCCCCAAGGTGTTCTCAGTCACCCATCCTGTAAAGAGGACGGACAGAATGAGAAGATCATCTCAGACTTGGGTTTGGATATATGGGGAGGGGTGCGCGCACACGCAAAAAATCTAACCCTAAATAAATGGCCACGCAGCTCTGTCTGTGTGACATGATCAAATTTTCATAAGCTGGGGCAGTGAGAGGAGAACAGGTCTCTTAATAAATGCCACTATTATAGAGTGTCCGCTAATGCGACGGGAGGTGGGAGGGGGGGTGTCGGGGAGGAGGCGGGGACGCGAAGGGGAGGGTGGCGGGGGCTCCGGAGTCCAGACCTGGATTTATTAAGAAACGATGCATTCAATTTCGGCGTGTTCAGTAATTATCTTTTATTTCATTTTCTCCCCTTCCCACTCCTCCCCCTCGGGTCCAGCAGAAGGTTGTGGCGGCGGCGGCGGCGGCGGCGGCGGCGGCAGCGGCGGCGGGAGCAGCGGCGGGGGCGGCAGTGACGGCGGGGGAGGGGACAAGAGCCCCCCGGGGTCGGCGGCGTCCAAGCGGGCACGGACGGCGTACACAAGCGCGCAGCTCGTTGAGCTGGAGAAAGAGTTCCACTTCAACCGCTACTTGTGCCGGCCGCGCCGCGTGGAGATGGCCAATCTGCTGAACCTCAGCGAGCGCCAGATCAAGATCTGGTTCCAGAACCGCCGCATGAAATACAAGAAAGACCAGAAGGCCAAAGGGCTGGCCTCGTCGTCTGGGGGTCCCTCTCCGGCCGGCAGCCCCCCACAGCCCATGCAGTCCACCGCCGGCTTCATGAACGCCTTACACTCCATGACTCCCAGCTATGACAGCCCGTCCCCGCCAGCCTTCGGCAAAGGCCACCAGAATGCCTACGCGCTGCCCTCCAACTACCAGCCCCCCCTTAAAGGTTGCGGCGCCCCGCAGAAGTACCCCCCGACCCCGGCGCCCGAGTACGAGCCCCACGTCCTCCAAGCCAACGGGGGCGCCTACGGGACGCCCACCATGCAGGGCAGCCCGGTGTACGTGGGCGGGGGTGGCTATGCGGATCCGCTGCCGCCCCCTGCCGGCCCCTCCCTCTACGGCCTCAATCACCTTTCCCACCACCCCTCGGGGAACCTGGACTACAACGGGGCGCCCCCTATGGCCCCCAGCCAGCATCACGGACCCTGTGATCCTCACCCCACTTACACAGACCTCTCCTCTCACCACGCACCACCTCAGGGTAGAATCCAAGAAGCGCCCAAATTGACACACCTGTGATGTGAGGGGCGGGTGGGGGGTGGGAGGCGAGATCAAGGGCCAGGGGGGTGGTGGAGCTGGTGGTGGGGGGCAGTCTGGTGGCCTGGAAGAGGTTCGCGTTGGGGGTGGTTGCAGGCTTCCAGGAACAAGACAGGCCTGGGGCGCCTTCCCCTCTCACGGGCCTGAGTCCTCCACGCCTGGTTCCATCTGCCCGCCCACACCCTTGGAAAGGAACCCACAGCAGATTGGAGGCGACCACATCAATCCCAGGGCTCCAGCACTACCAAGTTGGGATTTCAGATTGGAGAGGGAGTCGGGTAGACGGAACCAAGACAGGCAAGCAGGGCAGAGAGAAGCACATTCAGAACTTATGGCTTGGCTTTCATTAACCAACCAACCAACCAACCAACCAACCAACCAACCAACCAACTTACCTTCCATCTCTGTGGGCAATTCCCCCAAATCTTGATTTTTTTTTTCCTCCCTTTCATTCTCCTTATGAAAAATAAGAAAACACATTTAAATCTAAGGGCACAAAGTGTTTCCCTTCCACACCCCTAAAGCCTCAATTTGCCCCCATCTGTTCGGGGCTTCCTGCCATGCCCACCATTTCTAGCCCCATGATTTTCTGATCTAAGGACGCATCTATACCCCACCCCTATTGATGATAAGTGTCAGAGGGCTCAGGGATGGTGGGAGATCCTGAAGGTTAGAGCTGCCTATAATATAAATAGATATATTTTTTTTCTTTTAAGGAAAAGTTAAGAGACTAAGGCAGGCCAAGGTGTCAGGACTGGAGGTTTGCCTGCTCAGCAGCCTCTCAGCTCCCACCCCATCCCACTCTCTCTCCGTGGAAGGCAATCCACACGGAGCTCTCCACTTTCCTATTTCTTCTGTTTCTCTCTTGACTTAATGTGAAAACAGGGTATATTTGAACAAACTGTCTGTCCTCGGCAGGGGCTGCAGCTGGGCCTGTGTACCTTGCTCCAGCCCCTGACAGGACGCTCTTGTTGCACTTGGAGTTTACATTTTAATGGATATTAAAAAAAAAAAAAAAAAAACCAACTGTGAGAGATGCCTGGGCCTGCAAAAGTCCAGCTTCGCTCAAAAAGCGTGTGTTCTAGTGAACATTTTCATATATATTTATTGGTTATAGCCTGTTAAAATATTTTCTTTTTTTGTATTATTTATCCCCCCCTACATTATGTATTTATATGAGGAACAAAAAAGGAAAAAAATGTACTTTTTTAGTATTTACTTGTTATAAAGGATGTTGTGTTTCCTGTCATGTAAAACCAGCTATTTTAGTTTTTATTGTATTCTAGACAAGAGCTGTAGATTTATGTTAAACTCGTACTTATGAGCAATTGTAATTAGTTCTAAAAGGCATGAACTCAGCTCCTAATGGTCACTGTATAGTCCTGACTTTGTAGACTTAGAGTTAATTCTCTCTTGGAACTTTCTTTGTTCTTCTGTAGTTACTTTATCCCCCCCTTAGTTAAAAGGGTTGTCTGTCAAAACAATTCTTAAATAAACTTTCTGTTATCAATTTTATCTTGTCCTGGTGGTCTGATTCAGATGGCAGAGAAAAGGCTCCAATTGCCAGTGTCCCCTAAGAGGAGGGCATTGAAGACACTCTTCTGGCCTTTTTGTCTACTGCTCAGGCCCCTGTCTCCCTCCCCAGCGTTTCCTCCTGGTTTAAACTCGGGTTTTGACATTCTTAACAGTCTAGACCATTCTGCCAAGTGCTGCAGCTAAGGCTGAAGTAACAAGTTGAGGAAGGGGAGGGAATCTTGGGCTGTCTGTTTAGCCTCTTCGCCCCTGTTTTCCTCAGCCTTGGCCTTCCTTCTTTCTATGACCAGCACCTCTATGCATCCCTCTGCCCACGTCAAACCAAATCAAAATCTAGCTTATTACTGCTTCTTCCAGGCAACCTAAACTTCACGGTTCTCTTCCGGAGCTACAAGGAGGCTGTCACGTGACCCGAAGCCCAACCACCATTGGGTCTAAAATGAAAACAAAGGAAAATGATTAATCTGGGGGAAAAAAACAACAACAAACCCAGGCCTAGACTCCTCAGGTCAAGCCTTAGCACTGAAGTGAAATTAAATCATTTGATGAAGCCCAGGGCAAAGGCAGAGGAGGCCAGTTTGATTTCTCCTGCCAGGGAAAGGGAGAAGAAGGAAGCCAGGGAAGCGGCTGAAACCAGGCGTAAATAAAATGGTCCCCGGGCTAATGCGAGGCTCTGTTTCCACGATCCTCGGGAAAACTTCATTTCTTAGTCCTGGTTCCATAAAAGTTTTATCACAGTGGAGCGAGGATAGAGAGGGTCTGTCAAAGATGAAATGTCACCACCGCATCGCGGTATCCGATGAGAGCGAGGAGACAGGGAGGCTGAAATATGGAGCTAATTCGTTCAAAGAGAAGCCATGGCTGCTTGCTGAAGAGTTACATAATTCTAATTGTAAGCGCTGCGCCCGCATTGCTTAATTAGGAGCATATATTTGGTGGTAGTGGTGATATGGGGGGTGGGGTGGGGTGAGAATCGTTCCAGGCCCTCAGCCTTAAAGCGAGGGCTGATTTTCATTTTTATGTTGCATCCTGGCAGTCCAAGGTTAGTAATTACAGTCTTTATGCAACAATAAATAACAATAAAAAAACAACCTGAATAATACACCCCCTCCCCACCATGTAGGATTTTTTTTTTTTTAAACTGGACTTGGCTCATCCAGGCAGCAAGCAATTTAGCATTGGGTCAGGCTATGCATTAAGAGCAGAGGAGCGTGCAAAGCTTGATTGGGATCAAATAACGCTCAAGGGTCTGTCTTTCCTTTCCTTTTTCTCTTCCCTGAGTAACTTTTCCTGAATGATAGGCCTACATGAAGGGTCATGTTTGGCTCTGTGGGTGGAGGGAGGGGTGGGTTGCTTATTTACCTAGCCAGAGAGGAACAGGATAAGAGAGACTTTAGCTAGATCGACCAAAAGCAGTGCTTTGGCTTGAAGCTAGGGCTATAAACAAAAATTAGAACCTACCCTTCTGTCTTCAAGACTCCAGGTACTCAGCTAAAGCTGTTAAAAACATGGCTAAAAATCTATGCTGTAAGGTTCCTAGCGGACAGGGAGCAGGAGGGATGTCTCTGGGAAGAGGGTTCCCTCCCACACCCCCTTTTATCACCCAAGTTTTCTGCTGTTCACTAATCTGGCCATAAAATCTGTCATCAAGGGTTAGAGAGCTGTATTTCCTGCGGGGGACAGTCTGGGCCCTGCTTGCCTTAGAAGAACCCTGGATACCGCAGCCAGCTGGTGTGTTAGGAAACTTGTAGAGATGTCCAAGGACATCGCCAGGGAGAAGGCCCCTCTCAGGCCCACTGTGCAACTTACACAGCTACTATTTGGATTCTCCCCTGCTCACCACCACCCAAATGGAATATATATTACATATAATATATATTATATACATACACACTTTTTTAAAAAAGCTGAGTTAGACACCCACCCTCTCTGGCTCTCTGGCCCAGTTAAGAGCAGTTCCCCAAGAGCCTGCCTCTTTCTGTCCTTGCAGCGGCCAGATCCGGGTCCCCCACCCCCACCTTCTAGTCAGACTTCTCTGCCTTTTTATTTTCTTTCCTTTCTATAAATACTCACCACCACCCACGCGGACGTTACATTGACAGAAAGTTTCTAGTTCCAGCTCTCCGCTGACTTGCCATTTCTCTGCTAACCAGCCTTCTCCTCCAGGCTGGGCGGCGGAGAGCGAGGAGGGGGAGGGGAATTCTCTCCAGAGCCGTGGGAGTTCTCTGGGGCAAACTTTCCACCCAAGTTAGCGCCTTCCCTCTGTCTCCATTTCCCATCTGTTTCCTGGCCCTCCCAGAATTACCTTTCTCTTCTGCTGCCCCCTCCCTCAGGCCTTTTTAAGGGATGTGGAATTTAGGCTGTTCCCTCTGCTTTCCCAAAGAGCCAAATTCTTTGATGCAATCGGAGGGAGCTGTCAGGGGGCTAAGATTGATCGCCTCATCTCCTCTTGGTCCCTCTGACCCACTTATTTAAAAATCTTCCCCCAGATCGACTTTTCGTTTTCAGCTCTGAGGCCTAGTTTCCCACCAAATTGCTTGTGGCTCTGAGTTTTGTGCCTCCTCCCTCCAGTAAATTACAACATTCTAAAGTTGGGCCTATCATAGTCTCCTCACAATAGAATACATTATTTTCCCCCCTCTAGGGACCATAAACCGAATATAATCTCAGTGGTAGTCTTTACTTCTTCTCCCTCCATCTTTAGGGATTTTTTTTTTTAAACCAGGGATTTAAAAAATTTGCACAAAGGCAAATATGGGAGAGAAAGTCCCTTTGTCCTGAGGGAAAGTGTCCTCCCCCATACATTAACTTTAGCTTTGAAACTTTTGTGGATGGCGACCTTGGTGCCCTGGATATAGACACAGACACAGCCTGAGGGCTATGAACATATCTGCCATCTTAGACCTTCTTGGACCCTCCTACTGAACAGTGCTGGGGGGTCACAGAGTGTGAGTACAGATGACCCCAACAGGAAGAAGGCCACTGGACATAAAGTGTTGCCTGTACATACTGGGCAGAGGACAGAATCCAGGACACAAGGCTGGGAAGGAGACCAGTGTCCCCAAGTGCTCTTGGCATCTCGCTGCTTTGTGCCAGCTTGTGCATTTCTTAAGTTTGAACTGCTGCTTCCAGAGGGGGGGTGCGAACTGCTGGTGGTGGTTGGAGCTGCCTCCCACCCATCTCCATTCTGATTTTTCACCTTACTACTGACCTTTCCCCAAAGAGTGGAAGCCTCTTTTTACCCCTACTTCCTCCCAAATGGGCTTTTGCTCTTTGGAGGGGGAGAGGATGCTACTGATGGCCACATAAAGAAAGCATATTCATTGACTCAATTAAAATCTTTAGACAAGAAGGCCATTTCTCCCTTAAATTTGGTTGTTTCTACAGGCTCCCACCACCACACAGTCTCTGAAGGGGAGGAAGCGGTTCTTCGGGCTTTTCTGGGAGAAGAGAGCATTTGGGGAGAGTGTGGGGGCGCCGGGGTTGGAATGGGGGTACAGGAGGAAGGCTTATGGTATCCAGGTCGTGGTCCTCTGGAGTTTTTGAATCAATTAAAGCAAATAATGCCTGTGTTTTCCACCAGGCCCAGACGAGCGATTGGCGGAGACCGGTCCCGTGACCACGAATTCCCTGCAATTTCGTCGGAGTCCTGGGTTTAATAGAGAGAGTCCCCATACGCTTGTATTTATCAGCAATATACAATTATAAAGGCCTAAATTTAAAAAAAGAGAGAGAGAGAGAAATTCCCCTCCCCCTCGAAATCGCTTCATTGCATAAACCTGGGGGGGGCGGGAGAGGGGGTCCCTTCCGATCCTCCCTCCTGACGCCCCCCCCAGCAGGCCCCCTCCCCCACCATTGAAAGCCATGAATTTTGAATTTGAGAGGGAGATTGGGTTTATAAACAGCCAGCCATCGCTCGCCGAGTGTCTGACTTCCTTCCCCGCTGTCTTGGAGACATTTCAAACTTCATCAATCAAGGAGTCGACATTAATTCCTCCTCCTCCTCCTCTGGAGCAAACCTTCCCCAGCCTCCAGCCCGGCGCCTCCACCCTTCAGAGACCCGGGAGCCAAAAGCAAGCCGAAGATGGGCCTGCTCTGCCGCCGCCGCCGCCGCCGCCGCCACCGCCACTCCCCGCCGCCCCCCCAGCCCCCGAGTTCCCCTGGATGAAAGAGAAGAAATCCGCCAAGAAACCCAGCCAAGCCGCCGCATCTCCTTCTCCAGCCGCTGCCTCGGTCCGGGCCTCTGGGGTCGGGTCTCCTTCAGGTGGGTGAGCCTAGCGGGGGCGGGGTGAAGGGCAGCTGCAAGAGAAGGGGAGAAAGTGAGATGCTGGGGAGTCTGGTGGGGTTCCCGGGGGTCGATGGATTCTGGGGTTAGGGAAGCAGAGTATCCCGCTGGGGTCCAGGCCTAGCCAGAGCCAGCAGCACAACCACCACCCCTCAGCAGATTTTGGAAGCTGACTTGGGGGGGGGGGGGGTAGGGTGGTTTTTTTTATGTGTGAAAAGAAAATGATTCGATAGAAGTCTTTTCCCATTATCTGTGTAGAATGAAGTGTTGTGCCTGGGATTGAATCTGGAGCCAGGAAACGATGCGATTCTCGATGCGATTCTCCTACTTCTCCCAAGCTTAGGAGAAGAAGGGGAAATTCAAAAGCTAGGAAGGAAAGGGGTGAAGATCCCTCTCTCCAGATGGAGGTGGAAAGTTCCGAACTGAGGGGTCCATTGGGAGGACTGGGGGCGGGAGGCTCTGAGGTTCTGGGAGCGAAAAGGAATTGCTCCCCGCCCCCTACGTGGCCCGTGGGCGGCTCTGAATGCACCGACCTGACCTCGGCCAGGTCTTTCCTGCGTGGGAGAGCGCTAAAAAAAAAAAAAAAAAAAAAACCCAAACCAAAAACCAAACCAAAACAAAAAACCCCCAAAGACACAGAGAGGGAACCGCTTTGGGGGTGGGGTGGGAGCTCGGGTAGGACTGTTGACTGGATGACTGTCTTTTTAGCGGATGGGGTGCTCGCGATCTCAGCTAAAGCGAGGCTGGGTTGAGATCTCTCTGATACGCAGGGTGCTTTCCTCGCAGATGGTCCGGGACTGCCGGAGAGCGGCGGCGGCGGCGGCGGCTCGCGCAGGCTGCGCACGGCCTACACCAACACGCAGCTGCTGGAGCTGGAGAAGGAGTTCCACTTCAACAAGTATTTGTGCCGCCCGCGACGCGTGGAGATTGCCGCTTTGCTGGACCTCACCGAAAGGCAGGTCAAAGTCTGGTTCCAGAACCGACGCATGAAACACAAGCGGCAGACTCAGCATCGGGAGCCGCCGGATGGGGAGCCAGGAGGGCCGAGCGCCCCGGATGACTCGGGAGACCCAGCCGAGGAACCCGCAGTTAGCCCCGGCGGCACCTCCGCCTCTCACCGGCTGCGAGAAGCCTGCTTCTTCCCGGCCGAAGCCGCGCAGGGTCCCCGGGGTGCACCGCTACCCGCGCCTCCTGCCACTCCCCTGGAGAGTGTGGGCGCGCCGAGCCCCGGCTGCACGATGCTCAGAACCCGAGGCCTGCAGCCAGAGCCCCTGCCCGAAGACACCTGCCCTGAGCGGCCGGATTCGCCTTTCCTGCCCGACCTCAACTTCTTCGCTGCAGACTCCTGTCTCCAGATGTCCGGAGGCCTTTCTCCCAGCCTGCAGGGCTCTCTGGACAGCCCTGTCCCCTTTTCCGAGGAAGAGCTGGACTTCTTCACCAGCACGCTCTGTGCCATCGACTTGCAGTTTCCCTAACCTTTTTTTCTTTCCTTGACCCTTTCCACCTGGTCCTCTTCGGCTGTTGGGGAAAAAAATATATATATATCGAGCCTTCTCTACCCCTAGTCACATTTACGTGTTTTGCTAAAATTCAGGTATTAATGAATTAGCGCTTAATCCACTCCCTCCCTTTCACTTTTTAAAAACCACACAGAAAAATTCCATTTGGTAAAACTCCTTCCAACGAAATCTCAGGAATAATTAAACTCTAGTGGGGGAGGGTTTTCTTAAAAAGAACTAGAGGGACCTATTTTCCTCTTTTTTAAGTTTTAGATCGTAGATTATTTATTAAAATTGTTTAATAATAGGAAAAGGGGAAAGTATTTATTGTACATTATTTTCATAGATTAAATAAATGTCTTTATAATACGAAAACGAGTGTTTGTGTTGGGCTCCAGCTCTTTTCCTAAGACTCTGTGGCCAGTTTCGCTTTTCCAGGTCCGGCTTGAGGTTGTTCTGGCTCGGGCGACCTAGCAGTAGCATGGTCCCATCTCCCGGCCTGGCAAAGTCCGGGTGATACAAAAGTGACCCTGCTTGGTGGCCACTGCTCTGTCCATGACACCGGGGAGAACTGGTACTTTCGTGGAAGCTTGATCACTCCCTCGTCCGTCCGCCCACAGCCGGCCTTTGGCCCTGCTCACATGTTCCCTGGCTCCCTGCTTGGAAATAAAGATGGGGTGGGTGGAAAAAAAAAGAGCATGGAGCGGGTGCAGGAAAATGTCTCAGGGGCCAGCCAGCTCCGAGCCTTGGAGGCGGCACAGAGGGTTAAAGGAATTGAAGGGAGATCCTCTGGCTTCAAGTGCAGAAGCCAGGCGGGGATTCGGCAAGCTTGGGCCGAGGCCTGCGCCGGGTGCTGCTGGGCTGCAGGTCCCCTTGGGACTGGAATCGGGGTTAGGAGTCTTGTCGGGAAGCCTGGAGGCTGCTTGGGAAGCATTCGGCCTGCAACGAGGAAAGGTTTAGCCAGGCGAGCGGCGGGGAGAGCTGGAAGCAGGGAAGATGCTCAAAATGGCGCTGGGCCGGGCAGCCAGGAGCGCGGGGGAAGCAGCGGTGGCCGCCATGACAGCGGCTGGGGGATGCTCGGGTCGGCTCCCGGCCCGTCCCCACCCCCACTTTCCTGAGGCCAGATCTTTCACCCCGAAGAGAAGACAGCTTAGGAGCCTCCCAGCAATTGTGGGGTTTTATTTTGTTTTACTTAGAAAAAAGAAAGAGGGATGGAGAGGACCGGGGACCCAAGGGGAGGCCTTCGGCGTGGGAGGGGGAGGCGGGCCTGGGGACCAGGGACCACTTCACCCAGCGTGGCTTTTGATCCTTTGCTCTGGGCTTTGAAACCGTGCCAGAGCGGTTTCCAAATGCAGGCCCACCTGTCTTGACCAACAACTTCATTCTCCATCCCAACACGGCTCCCCGGCTCTTGCCCCCCACCGCACCCTTCCCGGCTCCCTGAACTCAGGAAAGGCGAAGCAGGAATCGCTCTTCCCCATCTGCCTCTTGGATTGTTCTCCGGAACCAGGAGATTTAAGGGACCCTGGAAAGCCATTCATCCTCCTCAGGTTTATTTAATATTTCTCCGGCTCAGAGACAGATACCTACCTCCCCGGCAGATGCTGCCCTTTTTTTTTTTTTGAAAGCAGTTTATTTCCTGAGCCTCCTAGACTTTTCTCTGAGACCAGCAGGAGCCAACGTAGGTGGTGACATGGAGGACTAGGCAAAGCCACTGTATTTTTTTTTTCCCCCAACGGGTCCCTCAGTGTAAGAAGTACACACATTTTATTCAGCTGGAATTTAATCCTTTAAACTGTCTTAATATAGAATCCCCCTCATGCATTAAATAATCTTATGTCATGTTAAATTGCACTTATTTCTCTCATAAATAAATTAATATAGAACAATTAGATGTGTTATTATAATAATACCGTGTATCTTATTAGTTTATTTTCCCTCATAAAATATATAGGTATGAAATAAATTCAATATATTAAAGTAATAATACACAGCTTATTGGCTTGTGTGTTTATTTTCCCCATAAATAAGTGAATATATAATATATTAAAACCACACTATACATCTCATTGGACTGTGTGTTTATTTCTCTATAAAATATGCCTACAGGCAGTGTTTAGCGTCTTAAAAATCACAGCACATATGCCATCTCTATGCTAGCAAAATGAGGGAGACATATCAATTGGGGCTTTGACTTCTATGGATAGCGAAACTAGATAATTTAGTCTAATTAAAAATGTTCTTGCAGCCATGCTAGGCTGTTACAAAGATCAAGGATACCAGAAAGATCTCACTAATTACCCACCTTCCAGCTTTCTTTGGTCAGAAGGAGAATACCCTTCATCAATGCCAAAAGACAGGAGCTGCAGAGAAACCCCATTCAGGGATGCTGGCCTGCAATACCCAGGGATCCCTGCTGTAGATGATTGGTTGTTCCATGGCCTAGCAGCACCAACATTACCTGAGCTAGTTAGAAATGCAGAATCTTAGGCTCTACTCCAGACCTCCAGAACCCGAATCTGCAATTTAGCAGATTTCTAAATGATTTATAGGCACATTAAGGTCTGAGAAGGACTGCTAGATTACATTGCCACCTTGCTTTCTGCCTTCCTCCACGCTTAAGAATTTTTGAGAGCTGGGCATGGTTGTGCACACCTATCGTCCTAGCACTCAGGAGGTCTAGGCAGGAGGACCATGGGTTTCAGGCTAGTCTACATAGTGAGGCCCTGTCTCAAAAAAGAAAAACCTGGTCGTGGTTCGTACCTGTAAACCCAGACCTCAGAAGGCTGAGACTGAAGGACGGCTGTGAGTTTGAGGTTAGCCTGATTTACATAGTGATTTCTAGGCCAACCTACAAAATGAGAGTCTACCTCAGAAAACAAAA